GGGGTATAAGTTACACCAAAATAAGTGGGGGGTGGGGGGAGGGGGGATCGCGTATTTGCTGTCGGGCAAGAGTGATTGAGATGGCCGGAAGGCGCCTTCAAATTTAAATCACCGGGAACAACGAGGCTGAAATAGAAATTGATTACTATAAAGAATTCTGAAACATACTTAAAACGATCAGAAGTGATAATATGGGTGGACAGCATAGAATATATTTTTCACAAAAATGAAGTAAACAAATTAAATAAAAAAAATGATATATCTCTCAACTCCATTGTTGGCCTTTTACGCAGTTGCAAAAAACAGATTATTTGTTAGAATAATCTAAGTTAGGGCTTACTGTCGAGGAATAAAGAAAAAAAATGCTAAAATTCGCGTATATTGCCGAGTTGGTAACTCGGAGTTATTGGCGCATTCTAAAGGTCATAACAATTGCCTAACAGGAATGATATACATCGAAAGCTTATCTTTGGCATGAAGCACTAATTAGTACAGCGAATTAATAGAAATAATCGGTTAAACAGAGACAGAACCAGGCTGTGATGAATTTTGAGTGATATGAATAGGTGAATTTACTAGAGGACACATTGCAGACAGCTTATACGGTTCATGCAAACCAAACAGGTATTCAAGTAAGGTAGGTAACAAGGCACTGTAGTTACAGATAACTGGGCTTGAGCATTCAGGATTCGCGGATCACTACACCGGATCACTATTGTATTCATCCTGATTGGAGTTCGAAAACAGACTTGAGGTAGGATATTATTACTGGTATTAACATTGCAGCAGTTTTCCTGAAGCTAGAGACAGGCAATGAGCCCAAAGGAGAAACAAAAGGTCATAACACCCAACAAGGAACTGGACTCAGCCAATGCAAGCTAGCAAGCATGTTGAGAGTGCTTCACATTGACGCTAGACTTGGTGCAATCGAGTTGAATCGAGTAAACTGTAATGACAACTCTGTAATTCAGCGGACAGAGGTAGTACAACTACCAAATTCATGCGATTCCAGATGTCAACTTTCTCCTATTACCAGATGTATTAAGACTGGATGACTATGATAGTAAAGAGAAATGCCTATTTCAGTTCCTCTCCTTTGTGAAGCACAGAGTCAGCGAAAGCGCTAATGACAACTACCAAAACGCCTGCCAGTTGAAAGAAATAAATAAATCCTCAGAAACTATCTGGCTCCATTTATCGACAATTAGCCCCTCCCATCAAAATTAATTTCAAGTACACAACAGCCATAACTTCACAAATCAAGGTGATTTTAAGGGACAAAACTACACCGAGCTTAAAATAGGTTATAGGACATGTACTTTTACAGACGGAAATGCTGAAGTTCCGCCTTCTCCTTAACAATAACAATAACGGATGTCCAATCTACCCCATCTATAAAACCAAGGTAGACTTACTTGCCGTTGAAAATAGTATCTTAGTCGCCTTACTTCACCAAGAATATACTTACTCCATACGACCAAGATGTGGTGATAAACAAAGGTGTCAAATAGCCTTTCCAACACCATCACCAAACCACACAGAGGCACAGACCCATTCAATGACTAATCGAGAGTTATTGCGACTGTGATATGCGTGCGTATAAGGCGCCATGAGCCCCAAGTGGTGGAGGCAATACAATGGCTAGTCAAACACTCCCCCCCCCCCTAATCAATACGCCTACACACTATTTGCTTAAACACTACAAAAACTTCTAGGTCTATTCATCGGCTTTCTACCTATGACGCACGTTGCATGAATTTAGTGACTGGAACGACCATATAAACTGTTTAACATCAACCAACAGTGGGCTGGAAACATGAGGGGAACTGACATGCCTTCACCGCTCCAAAGGTAAGTACGTTTTCAGGGGGACTTTGGGTTTAGTACTAATTTAAAGTAAACGCACGTCGAAAATCCGAGAAGAAGAAGAAGAAGAAGAAGAAGAAGGAGGTGTGGTCTACTTTGTTCCACAATAAAACGGAACATGGAACACGCCCACATATCCTTTCTAATCCTAAGGCAATTGTGCAAAAGGGTGCTCTTGCCTAAGGGTTACGCGCTTATGCCCAATTTAAAGATTCAAAAAAGGCGTAAAGCATTAAAAAAGAAGGAGACACATCAGGGGATTAAGTGGAATGCGTAGTCTATATTTAGATGTGCGTCAAAATGGTGCCCCGTGAATGGCTGATTCCCGCGGAACTTACGAGACGTGATAGGGATACTTGCTAGACTTAGATAAAATATTAAAACCAGCTGTGTGGGCTAGGCACACCAAAAAAACTATGGAGCAGTGAATGCAAAGCTTAAGTAAGGAGGAAACAACAAGTCTGGAGCAATCGAAGACGACGAAATGAAACATACTTCACCCGAAAACCCTCCAACAAAGAAAGAGAGCGATAAAGCTCTAAGCGTAATAAGAAGGGAATCAGAATGTAGTACGTAGTTGGAATTAGGCAAACTTTGGGGTAAGAAAGAAAAGCAAAAAGTCCTCTGGTCTTCAGAAACTTAGACCATGTCGGGGAAATATTAACTTCACAAACTCTGAAGTAATCTAAGTTGCCTAAAATAGAATGTATTCTCTTGTAGCTGCAGTAATATAGTAGTCACGGTAGGAAACAACTGGAAGGTAAAGAATGAAGCATGTCATAAGGACGTTTAGATATAAAAATTAACCTCCATCCCCTCCCGGCTCCCCTACTGATCGATTATGGTGAAAGAGAGGAGAAGAGGTTAAGGAATACGTGTTCTGCGTCTACCTTGAACACGTTCTCTGCTACTATTTCGCTTAAATAAAGATGGTATCGTAGTGGTGCAAACTTGAACAACGAATACCAAACTTTATTTCCCATCTCCTCGCTCATTAAACGAGGAGTAAAATAAGGAAGAATGCGCATTAAAGTATCACAATACGAATAGGAGAGGCAGCCCAATGCTCCCGCTTTCACACATTTTGAGTTCCTCATTGCAGTTATTTGCATTTTTTCCTTACTTTTTAAACTTGTAAAGCTTTTTTTACTGTGCCATGAGTACTGGCATTAACAGAGCTGATGACGTGTAGAAAGAGCCCTACCATGAGAGAGTGGCTTCGGTGGTTTCTTGGGGAGAGGTGGAGGAATATCGTCACCGCTATTGGAGGACACCGTTTGGGTGACATCCGGAGAGTTGGAGTCTGGTTCAAGCGGCAGGGGACAAGGTGGTCGGCGAGTGAGTGTTAGGGAAGTCGTAGAACTGGCAGGGGTAAGTCTGAACCGAGAGGTAGGAGTGGAGGTGGATGCAGTGTCATTGAAACTGAACTTCCTTGAGTGTCGGTTGCCACTAGTTAAGGAATCTCCTCCGTTAAGAGAGAAAAGGTCAGAAGGCCGCTCGGGCAGTGGAGGAGGGGTTGGAGGAATAATAGACACAGAGGAAACTTTTCTCTGATCTGGAGGTGGACTCAGTGGGGAAGCTAGAAAAAACAGACAGACATTCGTTTAAAACATGATGCAGTGGTAGAAAGGTCGAATTGGTTCAAGGCACCAATATTATTGATTTAATTGGAGTGCTACAATTACGGTTAGCATGTTCCACTTAGCAAACCATTATGGCTATTAAGCGTCAACAGAAGGCAACTGCAAATTCATGAGTCTAGAAACTAATTGGCCCCCTCGGTTTCTGCACTTCATCCCCTTGTATTATCAAGAGATTCCTCCCTCTCCCACACCCTATTATCATTGATCCTAAGAATAGGATCCCAAAGGAAATAAATTTATACCCAAAGGCTATTACTCTTGGCTACTTTGTGGAGATTGCAATTTCGCTACAGAAAACTGTGCTCAGGAGATGAGAGAGATCTGTAACAACTAACCCCAAAATTCAACTTTATCAAAACCTCTGAATGAAAAAATCGCTCAAAAAAGGTAGTTCCACATGAAGTAAACTGAATGAAAGTAACATTAGACAATAAATATTTTCATATACTTGGTAATTAATAGTAAAATTGAAATAGTCATACTCACTTAAGTTCTCGTCGTCTGAAAATAAGCTCAGATCCTAAAAGAAACAAAAAAACATATATAAAATAGAAGGATTAAGTAAATATTAAAACAAGATCAACAATTAGATTGAAGGAGAAAACGTTAATTTGTTAAAAAGAATACCTGAGGTATTGAATATTAAATATATTAATACAACTACAATAATCTAGCCCAATTACACATCGGTGGATATCATTAACACTAAACTAAACTGATATCTAAGGTGTTAAGATTTAATATCCTTAAACAGTTGGCATATTTTCTACAAATTTGCCATCCACCATTTAAGAAAATCAACACTATCACATTTCCAATCAACAGATTGCAAGCAGCACCCCAGAATTCAAATTCTTGCAAAGTAAAAGCACTCTCCACGCAACAGCACATATAAGATGATTCGCCTATTCAGTTTTTTTCCCAGATTTCGATTGACTGGACACTGTTCTTCACCAAACAAGTCTACTGAGCTAAGGCAAGGAGTTAGCGAGTAGTGATGAACCGGGTATTGCAAAAAGGGAAGGAGATTGGCGTACCTGCGACCTAAGTTGCTGGGCAGGGTTGAGCACTTGCGTTGCCCTCCTATACACTCGATCAGTCTGGTAGAGACTAAAATGCGTAAAAAGTAGAATTTATTATTTTAATCAGTACAGAAAATGGAAAGTCTCAACAACAAGTGGTTGGTAACTACAAAAGTTAACAAAAGTGCTAGAAGAAATGCCAACTCTATCAAAGTTTTACTCAAAATATCAGCAATTAGCGCCTGCTATGGTGTCAATCAGGCTACACTCCGACACCGGAACCTGGAGGAAGCTGATTTTACACTCACTGAGAAGGAGCCAAAAAAACATCCTCCATCTTGTCAATTACTCGGTCGGCTTTTATAGTACTGGAACGTCAACTAGTGTTTTTATCCACAACACTCAATACAGACATAATTTTCCACCGGGTTAGGAAGTGAAGAGCTTGGCAGCTAAAGTCCCTCGCTACCATGCACACGGTCCATTACTGGCTGCCCCACTGCCCCGGGTCTTAGCTACTACAGTGGTCCGTAATTCTACGTAGGTATCTAAATTCAACCTAAGCCTCACTCCAACTCCCTATGCACGAAGTGGAAAGGAAGCATACTATCGCCATAGACGGAGGAAATGTCTGGAAACTACGATAACTTGTACTAGATCATTTCCAAAGGTCTTTTATGCATAAAACTGAACATTCCAACATTTGTAGGCTTCCAGTGTCTACCAGATTTGTGGTAAAGGCTACAACATTCAATTAAGTACGACGACAGAGCCCGAGTTTCGGTGTCAGCTCGATCCGTCATTTCTATACAAAGAAGGCCTCAATTTACAAAATGACGTCAGTTTGATTTATATCAGCTAAGAACGTTGGCAGGCAATAGCTCCATACACTCTAGTAGATAATTAAAGAATGGTAAATGTGACAACAGATTAACAAAACATGCCATTCAGGAAGAGTTAAATTTGACCTTGTCTAAAATTGACGACTAGCCTTCACTAATTTATGCAAAGCTAATTGGGCTTGTCACACGATGCAACTGCTGTTTGAAATTGACTTCAAAGCTCTCAGTTTTCTGCACATATTTTCACATTCCGTGTATTCCAGAACAGTTATTTAAGGTCGCGACTGTCACCAGAGAATAATAGTTTGCTCATTAATATGTTTCAGTACTTTATAGCAGCCTATTCCAAAGCATTTTTTGTCTGGATTAATACTAATAAGGCTTAGTTTTTTAAGATGGTCTGTGCCCTACTTAAAACAGAAAGAGAAACGGAATATTTCACAAACTTGGACATTTATACGCATAAATCGATGGTATTCACATTCGCTGCACACAGTAGTGAGCTCAGTTATGTTCAAAATGTCATCACCAAACTTATCTAACCCTATAAGACTTTATGAAGATGGTACATGGCCAGATAAGAGATTAAACTATCTGGTCAGCTGACTTCAGATATTGCGGACGCAAACGTACCCGCAACATAAGAACACAACACAGTGTGAACATTTGACTCGTGAAAATAGAAAAGCTGACTTAAATCTTAATGGATTATTTTGTCAGCTCAAAATCTAAAGATGTTAGCTAAATTAAGGACCATGACATCAAGACACCACTATCAAACCTCTTTTCAACACCCTGCCCTCGATCCAAGTGTTCCAACGCTATTCCATGATTTAAAGTTATACGAGCCGTGTATGACTCCATGGTTAATAGCAATAACAATAAAAGCGCATTTCACCTTGAGTAAACCGTAATGAACTGCATTCTGTTAAATGAGACGATGATTAGTATCAACTGCTTTTCCCTCTATTTCCAGCTTCATAATTTGTTGTCCAACTTATTCTGATACCCTAAATTTATTAAAGCTATTAAATTTGACCAGTGTGATGAGTAATCTTAATGATAACAATAATAGAAAAGTTGAGACTAACCTTGGGGCTGACCCTCCAACCGGTGTTAGAGCAGTGTGGATGGGATTGGTCAACTCCATTTTCTCCTTCAGCCTCGATACGCTGATGCCAAACTTCATACTCATCTCGTGCATTAGAGCATTGTACTGCTCAATCATTGTAGGAAGTAGGTTGGCAATTGATCCAGCGGCTTCTGAGGTGGTCTCGAAGTTCCTGCACAACATCAGACCTTCCGCCTGAACTTCAAGGAGATGGAATACAGCATCTGAGAGTTGTTCCGATTGCCTTTCGTCTAGGGAGTCATCAACGAGGTTTAAACTGGTCTAAAAGCCGAGAAGGAAATTGACTTATTTTTGCGAAAACCGAGTCCAAACACGAAGGAGGTGAGCATAAGCTAATTCAACTATGACCTTAAAACATATCGTGCTGATAAGAAAGTAAACAAATTACTATAGATTTCTAAATCCATAACTATTATTGATCTCCAATAAGTTTTGCGCCTGCGTCAGCGCACGGAGGCAATGAAACAACGAAAACAAGCTAAGATGAAAATTTACAGAGCAAAAGAAGCATGTTGAAGCACCCTATTTTTTATTTGGTTTTTTAAGAAATTAAAATTGGGGAAACACAAGAATTGCTAATCGAAATAAAAAGAGAATTAAAAAAGAATGGTTTTAAAACCTTTATTCCTTTGAGTAGTGGGGAGAGTTTGAATAAGGTACCGCCTTATTAGTGAAATGAGAAAGGAGTTAAATATAGGCGTAATTTAAATGGCCTTGTATTTAATCATTAATGATTAAATTAAGGCAAACCACAATTAATCAATAGAGCCAATCAAATGGCGAGCAAGAAATATAATTTCGTAAATGAGACGCCATGAGGGTAGGAGTAAAAAAATAAACTATGAAAAAAATGCTTGACCCAGTGAGTGAGGAATTTTTCGTAGAATTTAAAGATTTAAAGATGTTAGTGTTTCCAACCTCGAGAGCTATTCAACTGACATAAATTTAATTAAAATTAGGAATAATTGGAGTGTTTAGAAAAGAACAACAACAGGAAGATTTTCGTCAAGAAGTGAAAAAACAATTGTTCTAGAAGAGGTGCAAAAGTAGTAGACAAAGACTTACCAAGAGAGCCGTCAAGCCCCCACTCACAGGCGAATGAATTGAAGTGCTCAATTTGCCCACAAAGTTGGAGAGAAGGAGGCCTGGACTTGGACTAGAGGATATGTCGGCAATGTTGGCACTAAGGGACAGAGACATATCCTGCACCGTATTGATCGCATACTCCACTTTGCTCAGTGTTCGCTAATTGAAGAAAAGAAGACAATTAGTAATTGAAGTGATTTGTCTCTTTGAAGCTCTCTGGACACATATTTAATTAAACACACAGCACGCAGGAAATTAAAAAAAACACAGGCTCAAAGAGTGCGAGAAAAGCTCATAAACTACGCTCTATCATTAGTTGCAATATTATTTCAAACCTAGTGACTAGGAGTTATAAAATAGAGTCCCTTAATCTATTTCGAAAAGTAAATTAAACAGGATTTTCGCCTTGAATGTGCGATCTGGAAGGAACAGCGTCCAGATTCGCTAATAATAAGAAATATTCATGACGCTTTCTCTACTCCCTTTCTGTTCTGTTTATGGTTAATTTCGTGGTAGATTTGAGGAGCCCTGACGCCTAGAGGTAACAACTTAATACATAAATAATAGGTAGAATTGTCCCACTACGAACTCTATAAAGTGAATTGTCGATGGAACAGTGGTCAATGTGAACGTCTACTAAGATAGAGGACACGTGGGTGACCAAAAGCAAAGATTTCTTCTGGCCAATAAGAGGGTTAGTAAAATCTAGCCAATCAGCAGAGCGATTCAAGAATATCTTTGCTCTATTCAGATTGTGTACCGTGAATCCTTTTTATCTGGTTGATACGTGATTTAGTACTCATTTAACGTTACTTACCGTAGTTATTTCCTCGACAGGCATAAATGACACAATATTTGGCAACTTGTCACTTAGAGTATATCGGACCTCTTCCACCACTGGCATTTCTTTGCCATCAGCCTAGAAATAGAATTATCAGGAAGCTATAAACTCCAACAGAACGCTTTAGACAACAATAAATACATACACTTTTGGATGGCTTAAAGTGGTATGTTCGAGTGAACTGTCGGACCTGATTCCACCCATAATACCTGAAGCAGAGAAACGAGAGGTTGAAATGATAGTTCTAACTATCGAACACCTTTTAAATCTTAACGTACGCTTTGATGTGAGGCGATAGATTTGCCGCCGCCTCTCCGGTTGCCCAATTAGCGGGTATCTCAGGCACCGGATGAAGGTTACTCACTAAGCGAATTGTGGGTGCATCATTTGTGATCTGCGTCTCCGTCGAGGTTAGTGGCTGAGGGTTATTTGTTTCTACATGGTATTCAGGGAATTGTTCGCACAAGGTCATTTTGACTTCGTTGAGTTGGCTCAACGTGCGGTAGACTATGGTGTTACCTATGAAACCTGGCGAGTCTGGACGGGTTGTGAAATGGAGAGCATAGTACTTGTAACAACACTGATTCCTGGTGTCTCCACTTATGAATTTGGTATAAAGCTGACTTTGTTCAGTCTGAAAAGAAGCAGAATAACCAACTCAGAAATTGTAGAAACATGTCCTTAGTCAGCACCACGACAATCAATCCAAACTACAAGCCGGCAGTGTTTGAAATTGGCAATTTTGTATCAATTTCAGACTATTTTGAGGTAAAAAATAGAGTACATAAAGTTTGTGATTTACATCAATCGTTAGTGTCGTTGACGATGCTGAAATGCATGCCGATACCTGTGTTGGATAGAGAAGGCATTGAAAAAGCGATCACATTTTGAAGGATGAAAAGAGATCAAGAAAGTAGATGAGCTAAACAATAGCGAAAACAGAGGTCTATAAAGCAAATTAAGACAGACATCCGCTGTTGATCTGCCGATTAATTATGTGAGTCATTAATACGTACATGTCGGCTGGGATTGATAAATAAATAGACCAAATAAAAATGTCCTCTCCCCTCCCCCCCCCCCTCTTTCCTCCAATATTTGTGATGACCTAAGAACTTGCATGGGAATACGTCAGTTCGAGTTATGCTTTAAGCCTTATCTTACGCGCTTTTAATCATGATTTCCTATTGGAGTGTTATGTCATTAGCTAATGAAATGCGCGAATAGAATTTGAGCAAAATATTACACTCCATTGACACTTCACTTCAGTTAAGAATGATTGACAGCCCAGCATACCCATAAGGCTAACTGCCTGAATAAATAAACCCGTACCCAATTAGCTCTTAAGTTAGTTTATTTATCTGCAGGCTATTTTTATTCAGAAATCAAGGTCTAAATAGGTGATTTATCAAAGACCACCTTGTGGATAAGACAATATGAAACAAAAGGGTGCCAGAGTGTGAATAAGTTAAAAGATAGATTAAGAAGTGCATTTAAAGATTAAAGACGAGAGTATGAAAAACGATCGATTATAAACTATTGGCTTCAATTCCACTCCGCAAGTCTGATTGCTGACAAGTGCTGACTAGCGAGATTGATAGTTCACCTTGTTTCTAACTCTTCAGTAGCATAGTTATTCCACTTAGTGATTAGAAATTCATTTGTTCAAAAAAATTGTTTGAAGAATTTACTTCACCATTTTACTTATTTTGCTGGGGGTGTGCGATAGACTTACCTCCACGTGGTGCACTCGCATACGGCGAAAAAGTCTATTAACCGGCAGTTGACTTCTAACTTCAAACTACCATGAACCAACTGTATGTCATATTCGACTTCTTACACAGTACTCATCTTACCTTTTCTCTACCTTTGTGTCTGTCTCTTTCTTTTACATCTGGGAATCATTATTCTGCCCCCTCTACTCGACTTTTTGTCACTTTGATGTTCCTTCTCCCCTCTGTGAAGCTCGAAGTCAGTTAAAGAGCTAATGATAAATACCAAAACGCCTGCCATTTAAAATAAATAAATAAACTTCATTTAATGTTTTATTTTAGAAAAAGTAACTAATTTCTATTTCATTCCTACAAGCCCCACCAAGATCTAGGAGGTCTTTACTTTTCACTTTTAGAATGTATCTGGCGGTATTATAAATTATTTTATATTTTATTTTCATAAGTTATTTGAAAGAAAAACAAATTAATCGCTTCTCATTCCTTGTTTAAGCTATTCACGCCATTGCACTCTCCTCCTCAATACCTAAGCCATCACCTGAGTCCTCTTCCTACCGAGTCTCGACGATCGTAGACAGGTGGTATTACCCCTCAACAAAACACCTAGCAACACCGACGTGCCAAAACAGGTGCCTACATAACCTCTAGGAAAGTATGAAGTCAAAAAAAGACCACTTCTCTTACTGAACCCATGTTGCCAAATAACTTGATTTTGTGACATAATTCTTTGCGCAAATAGGTAGATTGATGAAGAAAGGTGAAACTTACAAGAATTTTGCTGAGACTGGCAAGATCGGCTGTGACATCACGATAGAAGACAATGAGCTGATCGCAAACTTCAATAGCGCGTTTCCAATCCCCACCCTCTTTGAGATACTTCAGAGCATCCAGAAGAAGGGCCTCCTTGAGGGTTGATGAGGAAGCGCTGCCTAATTGGGCATATCGATTCGAGACTTCACTAATGTCCACTGGGTTTGAAGACCACTAGGAATAGAGGAGAATCGAAATAATAAAATGCATTCCAAGCTGGTATTCCCCATAAATCAAATTCTCACTTACATTATACTGACCACTGATTCGCTCCAGGGTATAACCTCGTTCAATATCATTCTCTGATTGTTCATGCAACTCTTCCAATTTAAAGAGGTATCGAATGGTCATGTCCTTCCGCTTGATTGAATCATAGTATGTCTTTAAAAAATACAAAGAATAATCAAAGTAAACATTCGAATGAGTGGTTAAGGAGTCATCTATCCAAACTTCAATCCAGCATGTGGTGTTGCAAGCTATGGCTACAGTCTGGTGATTCCGAAATTCCGATTGGGGAAGTTACCTAGACATTCGTTCTAGAATATTCCATGCTATTTTTAACGTGTCTTAGTGTTCACCAGACATGCTTATTTCAAATACTGCTAATATGGCTTTAAGTGAATTAGAGGGGTATAGCTGATGTCGTGAAATTTGATTCATCATTACGTCAAGTTTACTTCTATCGATTCCCCCTCCCCCCTCCTCCCACCCCCTATTTACCATTAGTCAATTTAAGGACACATACAATGCATCACTCATCATTTCTCTCTGCCATGCAGTTCTTTAGTTTATATGATCCAACTTGTGGCGCTGTGTCATTCCCCCCCCCCCCCCAGAGGCCTAAGCAGATTATAGTTTATACTACAACATTTGACGATGCTAATTAGTTTGAATCTAAATATACAAGTAGGTGATACGTCCCTGCAAACTTCGAATACTTTAAAAATTCGTAATAAATGTGCTGATGAGCAGAATCAAACTCAGATTACCGTCCTCTTACTCTTCATAGTTACCAAAAATCTTCGAAATCTCTCATCTGTGAAGAGAGCAAACAAATACTGCTGTTCCAACGCTTATAAACTAGCTTAGTGGACAACCTTTTCAATAAATGCGCCATAAACCCCACCAAAAGGGTTGTTCAGTTCATTGTTTAAGTGAAGTGTCCAACTGTTAAACGCAATCTAGGTCCTAGACTGGGAAGTCAATTGGCTTCTGGGGTAAGTAATGCGGAGTCGGATACTCAGACATGTTAGTAGGCCCGTTTGAAAGGTAGTGGCGATTCTTACCCGATTTTGAAAAATGCTTTGCCTGTGACTAGCTGCGTGATAGAAAGACATACAACCACAGTAATGCTAAGTGCTTCAACTGTGGAAATATCTGGACACATGTCTAAAATGTGCCACTTTGAGCATTCATACTATTCATGCATACTTCCACATAGAGAGTAGTTCTTTGAGTTATTGAAATTTTAGCACGAGTAAATGTATCATTTAAAGTACCTCATACAGTGAATTGTTTAAATCAGATAAAAGGGGCAATTTGATCAGTCCCCCTCCTTTTTCAAAACAGAAGGGTCCACGCTTGAGTTTCCACAGAATTTAAGTAATGCACGAAGCCCCGGAACGTGGTAATGTGAGAATGGGGTTAGTGTAATAACGAATAGCCTAAACATTTGAAAATTCACATTATACTTGTTTATGTTATGTTATAGCAAAGTGACCAAAACTGTGTGGAGTGTTTGAGAATGCCGAAAATTTAATTGAATAAAAATGTAGCAGAGGCAGAGAAACACGAATGGCGAAAAAAGTAACGCCACAACATGATCATAATGAGAGAAGTGACAAAGTAATCTAAAAAATTTCCCGTGTTGAAGCACCTTAGCGTGGTTCCATCGATTATAGGATTAAATTTTAATATTCTATTTCAGAAAATACTTTAAAGTGCCCATTTTCGAAGCGGCTGTGCACACACACATAGATAACCGTCCCCACCTCTAAGTCTGACACTTTGAAATTGACGACATTGTGATGATGACTCGACCTCTCGTAATTTCCTAGAGGACGAATATTTAAATAATCATCCAGACATTCCTATTAGCTGAGGAAATCTATTTCTCTGAATATAAAATACGCACAATTTCCACTGGTTTCACAAATGTTTCAGATTAGAATTCAACTGAAGAACATGTCTGAAGAAAATCTTTACCAAAAAAGACAGTCAGGTTGAGTCTTCGCAAGAAATTATTTCAATTAAGCCCCAGAGAAATAAAATGGGCAAAGTTTTACTAGACTAAGGCAGAATAAAAATCACCGTGCGGAGAAAATATTTATCACTAAGGAACTTTGGAATAAAAACATTTCTCCCTTAAAATTGATTCTTAATGTTAATATTAAAAACAATGAATATTATTTTTATGTAACTTTAGTTCTAGTTTAATGTATTGTCATTATGGAAAGTATTTTCACTTTTATGACCTTTTATAGCTTAAGGCTCCCAATTTGACGGTAAATTTACAGCACCCTACTTCTAAAAGTTAATTTTAATTTAACTATTCAAATGGCCCAATAATTTGCTTGATCTGAGAGCCAGTAGACATGTGAAAAATGTTACCTTAGATATTAACTATTGATAACTATGATATCACCCATCTCATTGGATCAAAATTATCTAGACCAAAGCGTATTTACTCCTTTCTTCATACCATGAAATTCTCAAATTAAATCAGAGATACACCGGCTCCGAAATCCTTTCATTTTACAGACTCAATCCTGTAAATTCACTGTTGCCACAATTATGGTTCAATTAATTAAAGAATGCAAACCATTTCTAAAAATAATAGTAAATAACCTCCGCTTAGAAAGTGTTGAAAGCGTATTTTCTCAACTGAATTTCAGGCAGTAGGATAAAGAACACGATTTTTTGAGCGGGATTGCTTACTGACAATTCCGAGAGAAATAAGTCAAGATACTGGGGGTATTGAATTAAGTAGAATTAAAATTATCACTCTCGATGTGTGTGGCTTGTATGTCACCTCCATTAAGCACACACACAAACACACACATTTATAACCATTAACAAGATATCTGCTGCATACCCTCAAGTTATTGATTGCCAACATTCCGCTGAGTTTCGATCGTCTTGTAATAACCTCGCTATACTCCCAGAGGTAATTGATCTGCTTAATCAAATCACTCAAGATCCGAGTCTTTGATTTTTCAGCGGTGAGAGCCAAGTTCGAGGGAGAAGGCTTGACGGGAACCCCACGACGCAAGCCAAAAGAGGTTCGACGACTCAAATTCTCAATTGCACCGTCGGGAACTTCAGTCATAAGGAGGGCTAACATTTCGGTAGAGAATTCAGGCAGTGCCCAGTTCATTACACGATCCACTTCACGAATTAGAAAAGGTTCAGCGGCCAAAGGATTCACTCGAAGCATATCCACTATGAGTTTGACACAGATTTTTCGAAGTTCTAAGGGCATAATGAAAAAATAATTCTGAATATAAGTTTGTACTTTGGTAATGGATTGATAAATCTATTTATGAATAAGGAGGAAATGAAGCAGATTAACGTTCTCTACTGCTGTTAGTTGAGAAGTAACCTGAAGGTAGTAGAATTAAGACTTTGTTAACTGCATTGTCACCCTCCACTCAACAACCTAATCCTCATTCCATAGTGGACTTTTTACTTTTCGATTTCCATTTATTTTTAATAGTTTTTTTTTGCCTCGGAAGAAGAAATAATACTAAAAACAAACCAAGAAGACCTAATTCCCCCCACCTCTGTCCAAAATTAGGTATGATCATTCCTAGGTTGCTTAAAAGAGGCGATTATTTTGGCGAAAAACAAGTAGAGATCTTTCAAATCATTAAGTCTAATTTTGTCTCTCCTTCCCCCCCCCCCCTAACCCCCAATTGGAGGGAGACAATTGGAAGGGAGTAATTTTGGTGTAGGTGTCTAGGGTTAGGCAAGCATCGACTGCTAAACCAATAAAATTTACCTACGAACTTATGCCAAAATCAGAGAGGATAAAGAAATTTCCAACTGGAGAACAAGCACCACCTTCATCTTAATTATGACAAATGTGAGGGAGTAATGGAGGCATGAATACGCGTCACCAACAATTAAAGCATTTGTTAGTAAGTATACGTCAATGGGGAGGTTTGGTTCTTGCTACTGCAATAAAACCAAAAACCCTACCTCAAAGAAACTGAGTTTTCTGAACTATACAGCCCCTTGTATATTCTCAACCAACTGTACTTTTCCGATCTAGGGGTGAACGATAGACTTACCGCCACGCGGTGCACCCTGGGCAACGTATACTCATGCGGCAAAAAAAGTCTATTGATTTTTGACTTCAAACTACCATGACCCCACTCTATGTCATATCCGACTCCTTCCACAGTAGCCATCTTACCTTTTCCTTTACTTTTGTCTTTGTCTCCTTTGCATCTGTGAATCACTCTTCTGTTACTCTTCCCCACGATTTTGCGAGTCTGATGTTTCTACCCTCTGCGAAGCCCGAAGTCAGCTAGATGGCTAATGATAACTATCAAAACATCTGCCATTTGAAGTAAATAAATAAATATTCTGCAACATGGAACTGCAAAAACAAAATTTGCCTGCCAAAATTGTGGTCATTTATGATTTCATAATGATAGTTCACTCATTTTAAATATTTCGTAGCCAACTCAGTACATTCAATTCCATTCCTATTCTTGGAGTTGGAATTTAAATTGGTATGTAATCATTTTAATATCGACAAGTACATGTCCGAATGGTGAATCATACAATTTAAGTATCCTCGTATATAAACTTAACTATAACGTTGCATTAAATTTAATTTCGAGATATTTGCCACGTGGTGCACCCTGGGCAACGTATTCTCATACGGCATAAAAGTCTATTAACCGGCAGTTGACTTCTGACTTCAAACTACCATGACCCCACTTTATGTAATATCCGACTCCTTCCACAGTACTCAACTCACCTTTTCCTTTACTTTTGTCTGTCTCTTTTACATCTGTGAATCCTTATTCTGTCCTCCATCTCGACTTTTCAACACTTTGATGTTCCTCCTCCTCTCTGTGAAACCCTATGATAACTATCAAAACGCCTGTCATTTCTGCTTCTTTGATGAACCTTCCCTCTGTGAAACCCTAAAGTCAGCTAAAGGGCTAATGATAGCTATCAAAACGCCTGCCAATTGAAAAAAATTTTCCCAATCTATAAACCGAATATCTTATCTAAGGGACTATTAGTAAAAACAATCACAGCACTCACACCCTAGGTGGCAATATTTGAGTAGTCAGATGCGAAGACGTTCGATAACAAAGATATACTAAAAACTGTGTGTCGGTAAAAAGCTCAATATGTGAGAGACTACTTTCAAATGACTTCTCATCTTAGATTATTCCCTCCTTCGGGATTAATCTAGTTTCTGGAACCCCTATACACTGTTAAGGTAGTTGATTCAAAATGATCTTTATAAAAACCAAACAGCCACTAAAGAAGCGTCAACAGGATATAATGGAATCAGCATTACCTGAAACTGGTTCCGTGGACATATTCATGACCGTGGGAATAAAGAACTCCATATAGTGCGACTGATGCGGTTGACCCACAGCTTGCCAAACTTCTTCAAGCAGCTTTCCAGCAAGCACCCTCAAATCTCCTAGGCAACCATTGGGCAGACGAGGCGCCGTCGCAACCATGGTGATAGTTGGTAGTTCCTCCAACCACAGGTGGGGTTGACTAGTGACGAAAGTGCCCAGACACCGTTGGAGTAACTTGATGAGTAAACGGGATTTGGCGTGGCTCGGATCAAGGCGACCGGGACTGTTGCACATAAAGAAGGGTCGTAAACACTCCTCAAACAAAACTCGCATAATCTTGAGTTCCACGGTGGACTGGAGAGCTAACATCTCCACCCAGGGCTGTTCGCGATTCGATTCAGCGTAGAGGGGGGTGACAAGGTAAGTTGGGAAATTGTGATATTTGAAGGTTCTGTCAAAAGAATGGTTACAACGTGTGTAAGTAGGCAAGAAGAATGCTTTCGTGGTTTGTGTTTATTAAAAGAGTTTCTTGGATAGAGATCTATCGTATACTCGAGCATATTCTTTATAAAGTTTTTGGGTTAATAATTTCTGATTAATGTGTTTTAATTATTACTGCGTAAGTTGGCATAAAAGAAAAATTCTGATGCGAAAAGACTTTGGTGATCTTCAGTGTACCTTCTCTTACTGACGCACAATTTGTTTGAATAGATCAAAAAATGTCAACATACTTAACCAAATAGTCAATAATTGGCTGGCATTTTTTCGGCATTGAACCACAATAAGCGTCTGGGCTATCATAAACTAACTGATTCTTAATATTAAAAGATACAAATTTATAAAGATAGGAAAATTAAACAAGTGTTTTAACCTGCGAATGAGTAATTTTGGCATAGAAGAAGGATAATATTCTTTGCATTTAAGAAAACCGCTCATAAGTCACATTTCTTGTGAATATGTATTCATTTGCGTTTTATGACGATCTAACTCAAACCTCTACCTTCCGTGTAACGAATACTTTATTATAGAAATTAACCCGTTTTATTTACAAGTACACTGCAACCACATTTTAAACGCGTCCAAACCCAAGTAGTTCATAAGTTGTCTTTGTATTTCCACACACCTTCAACCTCCACTCTCTCAAGGTCACTCCAGTTCACTTTGTGATTTATTCAATGCACTTTGGCCAAAGTAACCCTCTGTGTTCCAGTTGGAAGTGTTGATCAATATTGTTAGCCGGTTGCTATTAGCCCTACCTTCCTATTCAAATTCACTTGAAGTTGGGCACTCTTTATTCTAACACTTCTACTCCACCTTCACCTATTCCTCATGGGAATAAAATTTGTATTTCCTTGCATCAAAATAGTTAACAGAACTCCCCCCCCCCCAAAAAAAAACAGAGCGAACATTAAGCATACCTGCATAAATAAAATTTAAATGATAATGGAATAATAATAAATAAAGTCTCTCCAGCATAAAAGTAATCTACAGCTCACAGTCTAAACAAATAATTTCAATGGCATTGCACACATTCCGTGCTGTTCTTTTTGCAATGCTGTGTAAGAAAAGGACTGCAGATCAGATTTTAAGCGAATCGAAATCTAGTAAACAATGGTTTTCAATACCGGTAACTAGAATTAATCTCGTGTTATGTGCGCGCGCGCATTTAAATTACCGGTCATTGGCATGGAGGCTGGGATAGGCAGGCCAGGAATGCGACATCAAGAAAATGAAGAAGAGTTCATGGAGGAAGTCCACCGTGTCAGTGAGCTCCAGACCCACGCAAGTGGCGCAGACACAATCTAGACGTGGATGACCTCTGGGAGTGAGGAGAACTCTCCAGTCTGATGGATGCAGCTGTTGTAGAATGCTTGTAAATACACTTGCCAAGCAGCCCTACATCGAAGGAAAAAAGAGCAAATTCTACTTTCAAATGTCTATAAATTACGGAGATTTTAAGATCATAGTGAAACAAAGTCTGCACTTTTTGGTCGACCACGAATTGATAGTCAAAATGAGACAATAGAAGGAAAGTGGTGAAGGGATACTTTGTAGGGAGCAAAGTTGAATAATTGTCTCAAAAGAAGGAATTTAGTCGTTAAAGACAAAGTGCTTAAACATAGTACTATGAAAGTAGTAATGTTTCATTTTTGTGTGATAATGATAGAGAATGTCTTGGCCTTCTAAGAAAAGTTTGTTCTCAACTTTGAACGGAGTAAATAGAAGAAGTCATTTAGCAATACACTCAACATTTTCTAGGTCCTAATCCCCCC